GTAGCAGTTGTAGTAGTAGTAGTTGTAGTAGTAGTAGTAGTAGTAGTAGTAGTAGTAGTAGTGATGCTAGTCGTCGTAAGAGTAGTAGCAGTCGAAGTAGTAGCCGTAGTAGTAGTAGTAGTAGTAGTAGTAGTCGTAGTAGTAGTAGTAGCCGTAGTAGTAGTAGTCGTAGTAGTAGTAGTCGTAGTAGTAGTAGTCGTAGTAGTAGTAGTAGTAGTAGTAGTAGTAGTAGTAGTAGTAGTAGTAGTAGTAGTGGTAGCAGTGGTAGTAGCAGAAGTAGTAGTGTAGTCGTAGTCGTAGTAGTAGTAGTAGTAGTAGTCGTAGGAGTAGTAGCAGTAGTAGTAGTAGTAGTAGTAGTAGTAGTAGTAGTACTAGGCCGTAGTAGTAGGCCTAGTACTAGTGGTAGATGATATTGAGCTTTCATTCCTAACGAATAAGTAATGATTGCCACCCTTCCTGTTATCATTGTACTGTTCGATTAAAAAAAACGCCTCCCGGGGCCCGCACCCTGTTTTTTTTTTTTAAAGAAAAAGCTGGGAATCACAAAATTGTGCCTGTGGCCCCTGGGTTACAACAACATCGGCTCCCGCCTGATAATTCCTGAAAGTTAAATCCAATAACGCGCTTTCACGCGGGACGTCCTCATAAGTTATGCAGGAAACGCACTTTCGCGTGGGATTTCCTTGCAATGCATTCGGGCGCCGCGCCCTCAACACTCAGGAATCACGCTCTCGCGCTTGCCTTTTTCAAGATGGAAGCCCCGCTCTCGCTCCAGACTCCCTCACGATTCATGCAGGACTCACGCTTCAGCAGCCCGCCTGCTCGACCTGGCCGCCTGGGCCCGCCGTCCCAAACCGCCCGCTAGGGTCTGTCCACGCGGTGTGCCCGTCTGGTGCCGCCACGTGTTGTTTCTGCTCCGACCCCCCCCTGTGAATTTCTATCGTGCTTCATCCTTTTCCTCCCTTTTCCATCCGCCCATTCCTCCACTGTTTCAGGGGCTGCGCCAAATCCGCGTGGCAGGTAATGAAGATATACCCCAAAGAGGGGCATGATCGAAGACGAAGAGGGCGGGTACTGGGGGTTTGGGGTATGTATGTGTGTGTTGATGGGAAGGAGAGCAGATACGAGCGAACAGTCTTACCAGTGTTGTTGTGGTTGTCGTCGTCGTCGTTGCTGTTGATGTTGCTGCTTTTGTTGTTGCGGTTGTTGGTATTGTTGTTGTTTCTATTGTTGCTGGTGTTGTCAATGTTGGCAATGTTGTACTGTTGTCGTTGTGGTTGTTGCTGTTATGCTTGTTGTTGGTGTTGCTGTAGTTGGTGTTGTACGAAGCATCCCCGGATACTTACGCATCCACCGTTTCCCCTTGTATCTCTTTTTTTCCGCGGGGTTGAATGTCGTTTAATTGAAGCAGCAGTCGGGGAGGCTGAACTGTCCTTCCCCTCCAAAATTCTTACTTATCGTAGCTGTGATTGTGATGATGCCCCAGGCGATCCGCGATCCAAACATCCTAACATCGAAACATCCGGCATCAGGATTATTCCTCCGCTTGGGCCTCTAACTTGAATGCCCCAGGGGATGTTTCCCAGCAGGTTATGGTTAATGGTGAAAGGAAGGGAAGGAACAGGATGGGGCGTAGCGGGGAGAAGGAGAAGCAACACTGTGACACGATGCGCCGAACGAGGGAGACCAGGACGAACGAAACATGGGATACGAGCGCAGCAGACTTGCGCAGAGAGGGGGAACCCGCACATGCGTGATGAGGGAGCGGAGGGGGCGCGACGGGGTAGCAAAACAAAAAACAGGGGGAGCAACACATATCACCCCGCAAATGCGGATAAGAGTGAGGGGGCGGGCGCGGGGTGGGTCGCGGGGTGGGTCGCGGGTGGGTCGTGGGGTGGGTCGCGGGTGGGTCGCGGGTGGGTTGCGGGGTGGGTCGTGGGTGGGTCGCGGGTGGGTCGCGCGGGTGGGTCGCTGGTGGGGTCGCGGGTGGGTCGCGGGGTGGGTCGCGGGTGGGTCGCGGGTGGGTCGCGGGCGGGTCGCGGAGCGGAGGGGGGACGACGCAACAAAACAGCAACAAAACAACAACAATAATCGTCGCCGTGGACCCCACTTCAGCCACGCACCCAAGGATAGTGAATGACCATTCGGGCCCCCTCGCTCTGACAATAGACGGACGAAGAATAGATGGTGGAAGGAGTGGGTGGGACCTGCTGCTAAACGAATGATAACAATCACACACACGAAGAGGAGGATCAGGAGGAGGAGGAGGAGGAGGAGGAGGAGGAGGAGGTAAGGAAAGGCGCATGTAGGGACTAGGATGAGGAGGTGGGAAGGGGGAGGAGGGTGGAGCAGAGGAGGCAAGCAGTGGGGCAACAGAGGCAGGGTGAAGGAGGAGGGGGAAATCGAGAAGGGGGGTAGGGATGGGGGGGAAGAGGAGGTGGGGATGAGGGAAAATGGCGAAAAAGGAGGGATAGGGGGGGAAACAGGGAGGATGACTTGCCATCGACCTCGCGGCCTCGGCCTCGGCACTCAAATCGCGACCGCCTGCAGTCCGAGGGTGAGTTTTCGGCGGTTGGGGATCCCCGCTCACGCTGAAGTCCCTCGCGCTGCTGGCGCGCGCGAACAAGGATTACGTTCGGTGGCAACTCATGGGGGCCACCCGTGCCATCTGGTCGGCTCTTGCAAATCGACGCGAATACGCGAATCGACGCTAAATCGACTCTAGTCGACGCTGGATCGACGCTAGCCGACGCTACATCGGCGCGTCTCATCGACTCCAAACGCAGATCGACGCTAATCGACGCTAAAGACGGAATGAAGAGGGTACGCCAAGCTCCCGCGATATGCCACCGAAGATTACGCATCGGGGAAAATACCCCCGAAAAGGGGGCCACGGCCGCCCGATGTGGCAACGGAGCGCGTCGATGTAGCACGGAAGCGGGACCCGCCGCCAAGTCGCGCGCTTTCACCCATGTTTGTCTGTTTCCTCGAGAGCTGGGCTGCCCATGGCGCTCAGAACGCGTGGATCTGAAGAACGCCGCCGAACAGGCGAGCGCGATGTCGGCCGAGGGCGGCCGTGGTTTCGCAGGGGCCAGGGGTGCAACCCTCGCGCCATTCGGCCGTCGCCCCGGAGACGAATCTGATCTGGCAGGTAGCCTCCTGGGCATACGCTCAGGCTAGCAACAGAGCAAGCAAGACCGGGGACTGCCAGCAGTGATGGGAGAACGCGTCTGAATGGGACTGGCAGAGCCTCTGTGCAGGACAGCAGCCACCAAGTCCTCCTATTGCCCCTGGCGGCGCCCAAGTACGACGTCGCGCTCAAAGCATCATCTCGCATTTGATGGAGGACCATCGGGGGAATCGGCTCCAGGGTGGCGACATGTCGAACTGGATCGGCCATGGACCCCCCATGGCAAAACCGCTCGTTCCCGTCGGCACTGAATGGGCAATCTGGGGAGTTGGGAGTCCCCATGCTGGTTTTCGGACCATGACTCGGGCCTCCAACGGCCGTTCGGGACGATCCCAGCACCCCGGAGCGCTCTCGGCCAGGCGCAGCTGTTGAACCACATCCTGAGGCAGGACAAGCTCCAGGAACCGACGAAAACGTGCGACAAGCCCCCTATCGCTGTCCCTGAGCATTGGTGCACGACCTCCGGTGGCTCGAGCACAACCGCGCCCGATGCTTTGTGCTTGTTTGCTGCCATTCACGGCGTCCGCAGGCCGTCCCACGGCACCGAGAGCCCACACTGAGAAGCAAAGCACTCGGCATGAACAGCTGGTCGTGAAGAAGAGGAGGCGGCGGAGTAGGAGTAGGAGTAGGAGTAGGAGTAGGAGTAGGAGTAGGAGTAGGAGTAGGAGTAGGAGTAGGAGTAGGAGTAGGAGGAGGAGGAGGAGGAGGAGGAGGAGGAGGATCACCTGGAATGCAACACTGCGATTGGTCTCAGCAATGGCGCGCTGCGCATCCCTCAGATGCAGCGCCGCACGGATTTGCACGGGCATCCCTTTGGGATGCAGCCAACAACCCTTATCGATTCTGGCAAGGTCCTGCTTGCCTTCAGTCGTGCGGGGCCGCCCCGACAGGAGACATTCACTAGCCAAATTATCCGCATAGACATTGGCATAGCACCCGCAACGACTACAGCACGCAAGGTTCACACAATCGATATACAGGAGGGTGTGCGTACCATGCAGCGCTTTCCCACCCACACTACGCGACGACGACGAAGCCCCACCCGCCCCCGTCCCGCCACGCTGGAAGCACACCGCTCCTGCTATAGCAAACTGAGTGGGCCTGCATGCGGATCGAGCAAACCACTCCAGGTCCGCGTGCAAGGCCGTACGATCACAGATCCTGCAATCCCACCTCGCCCCGACTCTCTCCAGGTGGTGGTGCGACGAGGCAGTGACCAGGGCCTGCTTACAAGAACGCGGCCCTTTGGCCTCATAGCTGGATTTGATGAGGTCGAGAGCCATACGGTCCAGATTGGCACGGGCCGCGCGACGACGCACAAGGTGGGCGATCGCATCGAAGCGTCCGACCCCGGGCTTCACGGTGGCTTTACGCAGGACCTCGGCGGCAGCTGCGCCTGCGTTCAGATTCGAAAACTCGTTACCCGATATTTGCCAGAGCTGGAAGGGGGTCTCATGACCCCCCAGCTCCTCAGTAAAGAAAGTTAGCGAGAGCGGGAGAGAGAGGAGCAAGACCAGGAGCAGGAGGAGGAGGAGAAGGAGGATGAGGAGGAGGAGGAGGAGGAGGAGGAGGAGGAGGAGGAAGAGGAGTAGGAGGAGGCAGGGATCTAGGGGGGAGGAGAAGGAGGAAGAGGAGGAGGAGGAGGAGGAGGAGGAGGAGGCGACGAGACGGAGGAAGGGGTAGAGAGAGGCAAGGACCAGGGACTCGAAGAGACCGGGTCGTCGGAGCTCTTAAGATGCTGCGCGAGATCTCAAGGCCGTTCCGAGGCCGACGTCTGGCAAAACAGCTTCGGCGGCTGATATCGGCGAGCCTTCCGTAACAACTCGGGCTTCACCTCGCCGCTCTCGCCGCCGTGGCCTCTGCACGCGCTGCCTTCAGGGGCGGTCATGGGGCGCCCGCGTCTCTTCGGCCCCGTTTCGCTCTATCCCAACGCCGCTCCCTCCCTCCCCACCCCTCGCCCTTTCCCTCCTCCACCTCCTCCTCCTCCTCCTCCCCCTCCTCCTCCTTCTCCTCCTCCTCCTCTGCCTCCCTCCCCACTCCAGCCCCGCCTGCTCAGCCCGATGTTCTTGGCCCCGCACCTGCACGCATGCTTCCCCTCGCATCTCTCCCCTCCACGGCGACCGCGGGCCCCTCCTGATGCCAAGGCCCCCGAGGAGGAGGGGGGGGGAGTAAGGAGGAGGAGAAGGAGGAGGAGAGGGAGGGGGAGGAGCAGGAGAAGGAGGAGGAGGTATAGGACTTTTCCCCAAAACAAGCCAGTGAACGCATGGTGGCGTCCCCATTGAAAGGTGGGTGCCACCACCCAAAAGTTAAGCTGCGCTCTGTGGCAGAAGGCGCAGGCGCCTGTGCAAACCTGCGCTGGGACCAGACGGCCAGATGCTGAGGAGGAGTGGCAGATGGTTCATCCAGCGCCTGCCCCGCGGAGTGGGGGAGACTGGAGGAGGGGTAGTAGGAGGGATAGGAGAAGGAGGAGGAGGAGCAGCAGGAGGAGGAGCTGGAGGAGGAGGAGGAGGATCATGAGGAGGAGGAGGAGGAGGAGGAGGAGGAGGAGGAGGAGGAGGAGGAGGAGGAGGAGGAGGAGGAGGAGGAGAGGTGGAGAAGGGAGGAGGAGGGGAGGAGGAGGGGATGCATGGATGGATGGATGGACGGACGGATGGATGGATGGAACGCTTGGGGGGCGATTGGGCTCTGTGCCTTGCCTTGAGGGAGGAGGAAGGCGAGGAGGGATAGGAGGAGGGAGGTGCGGAGGCCGGCCCAGGCCTCTCCCGCCTCCCTCCTCCTATCCCGAAGACGTCGACGAAGACGACGATGACGAAGAGCGACGATGACGACGAAATTGACGACGTCGACTAAGACGACGACGATGGCGACGACGACGACGACGAAGCCTGGCTCGGGGGCCAAAGGCCAAATGCCGTGGACGTCGACGGCGACGTGGACGACGACGACGCCGACGACGAGGACGAGGGCGACGAGGACAAGGACGACGAGGACGACGACGCCGACAATCACGAGGACGGGGACGACGAGGACTACGGTACTACGAGGTCCACCAGCACGATGGCGAGCACGTCGACGACGCTGGCGAGGACGACGACGACCGACGACGGACGACCGACGTCCTGAGCCCGTTGTGGCCTGGGCGGCCGCCGCCGGCGCCGCCCACGCCTCCCCCTGCCAGCAGCTGGTAGTCGACGCCGATGCAGTGGTAGGCGAGCCCGCAGCCCTGCGCGTCGTTGCACTCCTGCGGCCGCGGGGCCCGATCGGGCAACCGCACACCTTCGACGATTTGTTGTTTCAGTCCCCGCGTGATCAGCGAGGAGAAGAAGTATCGCGTGGGGAGGAAGGAATTTGGGAAGATGCAGGGCATGAGCAATAGCATCCGGCCACAATGAACGATACCTCCGGCCACCTACGGGTAAGGATATCCTCAGTTCTCCCAGCCCCATCCTACACGGTGGAGGCATTGGTCAAGGAACGTGCCCAGGAGGCTTCAGACCCTGGAGGGTTCCGTATCTGGTGGGGGCGGCGGTGGTATCCATGGCCAATACACGGTTGGCTTTCCACTGGCTTCCAGACCCTACATTCCTTATCAAAGATTTCACTCACTGCCATCACCGTAACTGTCTCCCTGAATCCGGGCCTTGGTTTGGATATGATCCTCGCCTCGGGCCTCTGGGGGCCGTTCCCGGGTCACTGCCTGGGCCAGCAACATCGGATCCTGGTCGAAAAACGGACCGCGGTGACCTTGGTTAATCAAAAACGGATCTGGGGCGAAGAGAGCTAGCTCTCATTGCTTTCTTTCCACGGCGCCCAAGTCACCAAGATGACGGCCGCATGTAACTAAACGACCATAGTTGGGCCAGCGCCTGGAAAGCCTCGTCCAAGGCAATGGCTTCAGCAAGGAATGACGAGACTGGTTCGGACATAACTGCGCCCGCCATCAGCACACGAGTGGTTGTATGGGGGAAGGGTCGGGACCTCTGGGGAAGGGGTCGGGACCTCTGCGCCCCTGGGGCTCGGTCGGGGCACGGCCCACGATCCCCCGGCGGCTCAAGTAAGATCGCGCCGGACATCTCCGAAGCCTGGTATCTGCCCTGGGAAACATCACATCGTTCGTTGAGAAGGCGCTCGGCATTTTACGGTGGCGCTGGAGGCAACATGTGGGCATGGCAAGAACCGCCGTCCTGAACACTTGCCCCACGCCTTTCAATAGTTAAGGGTTGCCTCTGGTGCTGCCCAAACCATGCGATGACGCACCAATCATCAGGATGGCTTTGATCACCATCCTAAAATCATCCAGAAAAGGCTTGCATCGAAGAAGAACGAGCTCGTCATGGCTGCCCGGTGCGTCGCTGCTCGCCAGAGGTCCCCGTGAGTCCTGGGCCTCGCGTAGGGAACGCGCGCCGTACATAGAAGCCTCCTAGATGGGGTACGAGTACATGGGGTCGGATCGCCAATGCATCGGCGATGCATTGGTGATGTATCGGCGATGCATCGGCGATGCACAGGCGACGCATCGTCGATGTCGGCGATGCATCGACGACTTCGACGTGAAGCACATCTGGCTCCAAATCGAGCCGCATCGGCGATGCATCGGCGATGCGGCGCCATCCGCCGATTACATCTACTCCGACCTCATTTCGGAGGCCTCGGGTGCAACACTAAGGGGAGGGGCCATCAGCATAGAAAAGAGCATCAGTAACGACAACCAGTCGCTTCCAATAGTCGGCCCCGATGGGAGCAGGCAGCGGACAAGTATGGGGCGATGGCCGCGCAGCCACGAGCATGGCACCCAAGGCCCACCACCCCAAAGCAGCACATGCCCACCGCGGCCACGACCGTGTCGACCTCCAGGAGGCGCAGCTGCCAACTCGAGCCGGGAATCGACTGCATGATTGGATTGCCCCCAGCATGTGTTTGTCGAAGCCATGCAACAGTGCGTATAATGCCGGCAACACTACAAACTTTCTGCGCATGTGTTGCATCGTCGGCGGGAAAATCGAGTCCAGGACAATCAACTCCTTGGTCGAGCCTCTACTCGAGCAACACCCCAGTCTGTGTCCCCCGGGCCAGGCCGCCTGGCCTGCTGACCCGCGCGCGCGCGCCGCTCGCATCACGAGCCGGGGTTCACGCGAGGTCCTACATCAGATCCGCAGCCCCGACCGAGATGGACGAGGGCCGATGCTGCACTTTGCAGGGCAGCCCGGGGGTCGGAGCTGGATGGGCCCCGCGGAAATCCGTCAAGGGAGGGAGAAGGGCAAATCCTTTCACAATCAATCCCTGGCCCCCTCCCAGGATGCATCTGGTGCAGTTTCTCGCCCCGGATCCGTTTCTGACAGTCCAGTGGCACGAAACAGGCCCCCAGCTCGGGAATGCCAAAAACCTTCCCGAGCCCAGAACCTCGGAAACCTTCCTGCTGGCCAGAGCAAATGTTTGGCCACCTCAGGCCACCAGCCGACTCCGAGTAGCCCAGGCCTCCCTCCACGTGCGAGCGTCATCGTCACCCAGAAAGGGGGTGGGGCAAGGGGGTTGGGCACGGGTAGCGCCAGAGGATGAACGCAACATCCGAGCGCAAACCGTTCGCAACGCGCAGACCGTAGCGCGTTGGCACGGAACCCAACGCGCAGCCCGGACACGCATGCCTGGCGCGAGACGCTCCCCGAATCGTGGGCCCCCTGCGCGCATAGCCGAGATGCAGCGTGTGACTACGAACGTTTCGAACACGGTGCGTGCTGCGTGTCTCCACAGAGGGGGGCAGAGGGGGGTGGGGGGGGGGCGGGCGGCGCCCCCACTCCTTCGGATGCCCCGCGCCTGGCGGGCCGCGGGGGCCGCGGCTGCGGCCGCGAGCGGCGGCCACAGAGCTCAGATGCCGAGGCGGCCCCTGCGCCGCACCGGGGCACCGGAAGTGCAGCCGGCGACGGAGGGCGACGATGCAACGCGGACAGGGCGATCCGTCGTCTGGGCTCCGGGTGTACTCTTTCTCAGAATCTCCACTCCCGGTGCACACACCTCCTCCCGCAAGGGGCAAGAAAGACTCAGCTGGGCACCATGCCTCGAAGGTAGAGCGCGCGTGCCCTGCTAAGCCACCCTGAGCCTTTGGCTTGAACCAGACCTTTGGCTTTGGCTTGGCGGAGGTGGCGGGGTGGGGTGGGCGGGGACGGGGGGGAGCGAAGCGCGAAGCAGACGGCCCTGCGCCGCCCCTCCGGACACGGGGGGTGCAGTCGGCGACGGAGTGCGACGATGTAGGCGCGGGTGGGGTGCGCGGAGGTGGAGGGCGGGGTGGGGCGGCGGGGGGAGGGGGGATGGGTGGCGACACCCGAACCCTTCCCGCACCAACCATCGGTTCTCCCGAATCGATGGGAGGCGGGGGTAGGGCTCGGGACTTAGCCGACGAAGGGCAGGGCGGGGGGGGGGGGGGCAGACAGCCTGGAGGCGCACCTGGCCCCTCCCCCAAAGAGGGGTGAGGATTAGGTCGGGCGGCGGATTTTGGACGAAAAATACAGAAAAATGACCCCCAAGGACAAATATTTAAAACATAGTCCCCATCTAAGTTTTGGACCTATTCTTGAGTATCCCTCCTGCAGAGGGACATGCCCGACCTAAGGGAGGGGGACGGGCGGAGCACCCGCACCTTCGGGGTGTCCCTCGCCCTGGCGGGGACGGCGGGCACGCGGCAGGGCGCCGCGAGAGACGCGGCCCGGAGCTCGGCGGGGCGGCGCCCGCGCCGCCTCGCGAAGCAACAAGGAGCGCAGCCGGCGCTAAGATGATGGGCCTGTTTTCCAGCACCACCACCACCCAACCATTTAAGCTCCTCCTCCTCCTCCTCCTCCTCTCCTCTCCTCCTCCTCCTCCTCCCTCCTCCTCCCTCCTCCCTCCTCCCTCTCCTCCCCTCCCTCCTCTCCTCTCCCTCCTCCCTCCTCCTCCTCTTCCTCCTCCTCCCTCCTCCCTCCTCCTCCTCCCTCCTCCCTCCTCTTCCTCCTCCTCCCTCCTCCCTCCTCTTCCTCCTCCTCCCTCCTCCCTCCTCTTCCTCCACCTCCCCACCCCCTCCAACTTATGTTGGTGGTGGTGGTGGAAAACAGGCCCATCAGCTAAGATGGCGAGGATGGAGCGAGCGAGCGAGCCATGGAGCGACGAAGCATCCGAAAACGCGACGGCGACTATATCCGGGGATGGACAGAGCCCCCTTTTAGTAAGACGTGGTGTAGTGAAGACGACCCGGGGCCCAAACCTGGCGGGCACAAGCCTGGAAGCTGACGGCCGCGGCGCCCTCTCGGGAACCGAGAACGCACAATTCACTAATCGACGTGCCAGGGTAGGGGTTCTGTCCATCCCCCGATGTATGAGTGAGGGCGAGCGTGATAAATCACTAACGCTCTGAAGAAACCCGGCAATTCCGGCATCACGTGGGAACGCCTGATGCCGGATGCTTGCCTGCGGCGAGCCAGTCCCTGGCTCGCGGATGGGTCACGCGGAGGTCCGACGGTTCTCAGAGCGTGTGCTAGCGCCGACGTGCGCCGCTCCTTCGAGTCCTCTCAGCACGAAAGGGGGTGGCGTCGCGATGGCCGACACGGGCCGAAAGAGGTAGCACACATATTAGGCTAACGAACCTCCTGAGGATCACCGACGAGGGTGGGGTGGGGTGGGGTGGGAGGCGGCATTGTCCAGGCGACGATGACGACTGCCCCACCCGCAAGCCCTGCGTCGCACCACGCGGCAGAGCTGCTCCGGAGCAGGCAGGCGGCGAGCTGCACGCCCGTGCTCGGCTTCTTCCCTCTCCTGCTCTCCTCCGCCTTGGGAGGGGATGCTGGGCGCGAAGACCCCGGCAGGGCGAGAGCGAAGGCGGGCGCGCTCCTTGCACACCCGGAGGAACTGGTTGTACGACTCGATAGCCTGCGCTCGCCCGGGCCAGAAAGGCGCGCGCGCGGGGAGGACGAGGCTCGCGTTGCATCTCAAGAGGGACCTTGTCTGTCCCGACGCGCCGCGAGCCGCGCCGAAGCCGCGCCGAATCCGTGCCGAACGCGTCGAGTCCGCATCGAATCCGTGTGGAATCCGTGCCGAATCCGAGTCCAATCGATGCACGCCGAGCTCACGCCGAATCCGCACCGAACCCACGTCGGAGTAATACAGGGGAAGACAGCAAGCGACAGGGCAGGAGAGACGTCCCCCGGAGATGCAGAGCGACGAGGCGGAGGCCGCTTCCCCCGGGCCGGGCTCTCATCAAGGATGATCTCGTTGACGGCCCCTCGGACCTCGGACGGGCTTCCAGCCCAACATCGGGGAAAAACACCATACACGCCGTCCCACATTGGGAGGGACCTCTCAAGCTTTCGTCAGGCCTGCGCAGTGCCCATAAGAGCAAGAACGCAGCTGAGCACAGGAGGGCGTGCAGGCAGCTACGGAGCTCGGACATGCAGAGGCAAGGGGCGGACGACGCTGCACAGCCCCGGGGGAGCCGAGCATTGACAGCGTGAGCACCAAATCTGCAATGTATGTTTGGTGGCGCCAGGATCTGGCGGCTTCACGGCCGGTTGGAGCCACGTTGTCTCATCATCAACCGCCTCCTCCTCCTCCTCCCTCCTCCTCCTCCTCCTCCTCCTCCTCCTCCCTCCTCCCTCCTCCCTCCTCCTCCTCCTCCTCCTCCTCCTCCTCCCCCTCCTTCTCCTCCTCCTCCTCCTCCTCCTCCTCTCATCCTCCTCCTCGCCTCTCCTCCTCCCCTCCCCCCCTCCTCCTCCTCCTCCTCCTCCTCCTCCTCCTCTCCTCCTTCCTCCTCCTCCTCCTCCTCCTCCCCCTCCTCCTCCTCCTCCTCCTCCACCTCCTCCTCCTCCTCCTCCTCCTCCTCCTCCTCCTGGCGGCCGCCCTCTGCCGTGCTCCCTCCGAGGCCGACGATCAGCCGCCGGGCGGGGGCCCCGACGGAGGCCTGGGCTCCTCGGCAGGGCGTGCGAGGGCGGGCCCTCGCTCGCCCCTGGGCTGCCCGCCCCGCCGCCCCGCCGCCTCAGGCAGGAGGAGAAGGAGGCAGGAGGAGGCAGGAGGCAGGAGGAGGCAGGAGGCAGGAGGAGGATGAGAAGGCAGGAGGAGGAGGCAGGAGGAGGAGGAGGCCGGAGGAGGAGGAGGGCGAGGAGGGCGACGAGGGTGAGGAGGAGGAGGAGGAGGAGGAGGAGGCAGGAGGAGGAGGAGGAGGAGGCAGGAGGAGGAGGAGGGCGAGGAGGGCGACGAGGGGGAGGAGGAGGACCAGTGGAAACCCCAGAGTCATCACCGATGTTGGAATTAACCCTCCCTCCAAGCTCCCTCTTCATAGGCCCCTACAACGGTTCATTTCCATGGAGGGATCTGCCTCGTTGGAAGACAACAGTTTGAAGATCCTGAAGCGTGCCAATACATTTTTCTCGGGATTTCAACGCCACGTATCAACCTGACTGCTGCGTCTTGACGATCCAGAATCGTGCCCGAACGTCTTTTTGGTGACTTCAACACAGCGAATCAACATAACTGTTGCGCTCGCATGCTCCTGAATCCTTCCAACACGCCATTTCTGGTGCGCTGAGCATGGGAATCCGTGAAGCTCTTGCACAAGTTGAAAACGAATGTGCGCGGCGCTGAGGTGAGAGCGACAATTTGAAAAGGAACCGCCCTCAATCCGTGAAGCTCTTGCACATGTATAAAACGAATGAGCACGGCGCTCTGGCGAGAACCACAATTTGAACACCACCCGCCATCAACCCGTGAAACTCTTGCGATCTGTTAAAACGAATGTGCGCAGCGCTGAAGCGAGATCACATGTTGAAAAACACCCTCCCTCAATCCGTGAAGCTCTTACGTTGTTTGAACGAATGTGCGCGGCGCTGAGGTGAGAGCCACAATTTGAAAAGGAACCGCCCTCAATCCGTGAAGCTCTTGCACATGTATAAAAGACAGTGCGCGGCGCTAAGGCTAGAGCCATATTTTGAAAACGACCCGCCCTCAATCCGTGAAGCTCTTGCATTGTTTGAACGAATGTGCGCGGCGCTAAGGCGAGAACCATATTTTGAAAACGGCCCACCCTCAATCCGAGAAGCTCTTGCAGAAGTTGAAGACGAAAGTACGCGGCGCTAGGGCAAGAACCACATTTTGAAAACGACCCGCCCTCAATCCATGAAACTCTTGCAACTAATCAAAAAACAAATGTGCGCGGTGCTAGGGCGGGGGCCACATATTGAAAGCGACCCGCCCTCTATCTGTGAAGCCGCTGTTACTTTCTCAGCTTCAGAATCATAAGTGGTGAGGGAGTCTCATGCGAACATTCTGGCCGGCCCTAAAAGCTGGCCTCGGGGCGCGACAGGGATGAGTTATCTATAGGAGAAGGAATGGAGGAAGAGGGGGAGGAGAGGGGGAGGAGGAGGAGGAGGTGGAGAAGGAGGAGGAGGAGGAGGAGGAGGAAGAAGAGGAGAGGAGGAGAGGAGAGGAGGGAGGAGGAGGAGGAGGAGGAGGAGGAGGAGGAGGAGGAGGAGGGGAGGAGGAGGAGGAGGAGGAAGGGGGAGGGGGGGGGAGGAGGGGGGGGGAGGAGGAGGAGGGGAGGAGGAGGAGGAGGAGGAGGAGGAGGAGGAGGAGGAGGAGGAGGACCAGCACTCGGATTGGGGATGATCCCACTTGTTGAGCTGCCTGCTGCACTATGCAGCGGCGCTCATCTCGGCCATATTGCCAGCTGTGCCAGCGGGATTTGTTTGAGGAGGAGGAGGAGGACGAGGAGGAGGAGGAAGAGGAGGAGGAGGAGGAGGAGGAGGAGGAGAGGGAGGAGGAGGCAGTAGGACGAGGAGGGCGAGGAGGAGGACGAGGAGGAGGAGGAGGCCCAGGAGGAGGAGAATTTGTTAGCCCCCACCCTCCCCCCAACCGGCGCTCCGGTGGGGCCCGATGGCCGCGGCCGCCATGGAGACAGAAGGCCGCAGCTCGAAGCTCGAAGAAGGAGGAGGAGCAGGAGGACGAGGACTACGAGGAGCAGGAGCAGGAGGAGGACGAGGACGGCGAGGAGGAGGAGGAGGACAAGCAGGCAGGAGGATCGGCTCGCCGAGGGGGCACGGTCGTGACAGCGGCAGCAAGACACGCCGCGGCCCTTGAGACCGAGCCTCTCCACCTGCGAGGGCGTGCCCGTCTCTGGGCGGGAGATTACAGGTTTCATCGGGTCATCCGAGTGTCAGAACCTGGCCGAAGCGCTCGGGGCTTAGCAATAACAAAGGGCCTGCGCAGCACTGTCTCGGAGGAGGAGGGGCACGAGGAGGACGAGGGCGAGGACGAGGAGGACGAGGAGGACGAGGAGGACGAGGAGGACGATAAGGACGAGGAGGGGCAAGGACGTGGACGAGGACGAGGAGGGCGAGGACGAGGAGGGGCACGAGGAGGACGAGGGGGGCGAGGACTTGGCTCGGGGAGCCCGGCGCCCCGCCCTTGGGCGCCCCCCAGGCAGGGAGGGCTCGCCCCCCCCCCCCCTCCCCGGAAGCGGCGGCGGGCGCGCTCCCCAGAGCCTCCAGGTGAGCGCTTTCTTACTCGGCGTTGTGACATGGGGCGGAAGGGTGGGGGGAGCTAGGAGGCATCTGCTGGGAGATGTTCGTCGGAAAGGCGAAGGAGGATTGAGCCCCATTTGGGAGCTGTTGTTCCGGAGTGGGCCTCGGATTAAGCGGGATTGAGTCGGATTAAGCGGGATTAGACGGGATTTAGCCAGATTTCGGACCAGGGCAACATCAGAATTTGACCTCCCAGGAGTTGCATCCGAAGGGGAGGTACAGTCGGGTTGGATTGGAGAGGACACGCGAGAGGACAAGAGACCCTTTCTGAGGGGCACGCTGCCACAGGAATGCAGGAGGCTTGGGTCGCGAGAGAAACAGGACACAAGGGCACCCTTGATTTGGCAGGGTCGACCCACTCATCTGGACCGACTGTAAAGGGTCTGGTCCGGGCCTCTGCCTATAGCGCGACTGTTTGCAGCAGTACTGCCTCTGGGGGAGGGATTCTACCTGCTCGAAGCAGGCGCCAAACACAGCCAGGATCCACTCCAGGGGGGGCGAGATGGGGGGTGCGAGGGCCTGCGCCGATCGGCAAAACAATGAATAACGAAACGATCACCAGAGCCTCCAGGGCGGCCGTGCTGTTTCATCCTCACTCAAGGAAAACAGACACGTATTGTTGTTCCCCCGTCGTCGGCGTCGTCGCCGTCGCCGTCGTCGTCGTCGCCGCCGTCGCCACCGCCGTCGTCGGCGTCGTCGTGGTGGTGGCGGTGGTCGCCGTCGTCCTCCATCAGGGTCGGCGGCACTGGCAGTCAGGCATTCGCAATACTTATTGTTGACACCCCCCGCCCAGTGCCAACTGTGTTCATCAATTGCAATGCACCCCGCCCAGCGCTCGCACCCTTTTTTCTTACAAGGGAGAGCCCCACACATTACGCACGCATCATGCACTCGCCGATGCCTTCTCGGTAATCTATTCAGGCGCCTCAGCCTCTAAGCCTATGAACCATGCTCGCGCGCAAAACCTTCCAGAATGTACTGAAGATCCGCGCTCTCGCCTGAGGTTTCTGCGCAATCTGACATGCGAGGCGGGGATTTATCCATATCCACCGCCTGCGAACCGACGTCCTGGTGCCCCAGCGGGCGGTGGATGTGGACATATTTCGGCCCCCGGGGGCCCGAATATCTCCATATCCACCGCCTGCCGAGGCTCCGAAAACTGACCCTCCAGGCGGTGGTCATGTATAAATTCCCGCCTCGGATGAAAATTTCGCTTCGATGCCCCGCTCGCCCGACCCGCTCGTTCGGGCCCGCCCGCCCGATCCGCCCGTTAGAGAGCCCGCCCACCCGACCCGCCAGTGAGGGCCCGCCCGTCCGCCTGCTCGAAGCCCGCCCGTACCGCCCGATCCGCTCGCTGGG